TGCGGTGTATTGTATGTTTTTTACATTTGTATTGTATATTATGGTCTTGATTGTACGTTTCTGCTTTGTATTGTATGATTTTCATATTTTTTGTATAATTGTTTATTTGTATGTCTACGTGATGCGATTGTTGCATGTATCAATTGTTTTGTTTTTTAATTATACATGAAACATACCTACATGGTATGTGTTAGAGGTTCATGTTCATTTTATTACAATAAAATCGTTCGATGAATTTACAGAATTTCTACTCTGCATTGTCTTTCTCTCTCTCTCTCTTTCTCTCTCTCTCTCTCTCTTTCTCTCTCTCTCTCATTTTCTCTCTCTCTCTTTCTCTCTCTCTCTCTCTTTTCTCTCTCTCTCTTTCTCTCTCTCTTTCTCTCTCTCTCTTCTTTTCTCTCTCTCTCTTTCTCTCTCTCTCATTTTCTCTCTTTCTCTCTTTCTCTTCTTTTCTCTCTCTCTCTTTCTCTCTCTCTCTTTCTCTCTCTCTCATTTTCTCTCTCTCTCTCACTCTCTCTCTTCTCTTTTCATTTTCTTTCCCTCTCTCTTATTTTTTTCCTTCTTCTTCGCTCTCAACCTTGCTCTAAGTTTAATGACGAACAAATTTAAGCGTGTATCATGCACCTTGTTCACGTTGCATACAATGGTTACATGAAAATTTTTTGGTCAACAGTTTGTTGACCAATCTTTTTGAAAAAATTATAAAAAATTATTTTTTTTTCAAATGGTTATCAAGAGTGATTAACCTAACACGTATCTCAGCTGCCTGGTTATATTTCAATTCCAGAATAATGACTAAAAAAAAATAAGCTCCCTTGATTTTTAAGGAATTAATGATTTTTAAAATTATTAGATAATGAATGAATTAACAACTGAATGAATGGATGCATGTATGTATGTATATATATATGTATGTATGCATGTATGTATGTATGTATGTATGTATGTATGAATGTATATATGTATGTATGTATGTATGTATGTATGTATATATGTATGTATGTATGTATGTATGTATGTATGTATGTATGTATGTATGTATATATGTATGTATGTATGTATGTATGTATGTATGTATGTATGTATGAATGTATATATGTATGTATGTATGTATGTATGTATGTATATATGTATGTATGTATGTATGTATGTATGTATATATGTATGTATGAATGTATATATGTATGTATGTATGTATGTATGTATGTATATATGTATGTATGTATGTATGTATGTATGTATGTATGTATGTATGTATGAATGTATATATGTATGTATGTATGTATGTATGTATGTATATATGTATGTATGTATGTATGTATGTATGTATATATGTATGTATGAATGTATATATGTATGTATGTATGTATGTGTGTATTTATTTGCTAGCGTGTGCCAACGGACAATAAGCCAAATCATCCAACCGCATCCAAAGTCAACAATAAACATTCAGAACCTGGCTTACATTGGAAAGCATAACCCATTATAATAATAATAATAAAAAACAAACAAATAATATGACATTTTATTATTATTGTTATTATTATTGTTGTTATTATTATTATTGTTATTATTAATAATATTATTATTATTTCTATTATTTTAATATTTAACTGTAATTAAACTAGCACATAAAATATGAATGAAGGTAATGACGATAAATTGTTTCATTGATTAGATTTAAAAATTTTAAAAGCGTTATTATTATTATTAATAATAATATTATTATTATTATTATTATTATTATTATTAACCAATAAAAAAGCAATAACATTCGGATAAAATAATAGTAAAAATTGCTCAAATATAAGCCAGCACATCAATTTAAAAACCATCCGTGCATTTAATGGCGGTAGCTATAGCTGGCAAATATTATTATTATTATTATTATTTTAAATATATTTATCATAATAATATTTATTAATATTATTATTTTTATAGTTATTATTATTATGAGTAGCAGTAATAATAGTAGTAGTAGTATTTGTAGAAATAATAATAGTAGTAGTTTTTGTTGTAGTAGTAATAGTAGTAGCGGCAGCAGTAGCAGTAGTAGTAGTAGTAGAAGTTGTATTAATAATAATAATAATATCAAAGAGTAGACATTTTTACGATAGTAATAGAGAAGCCTTAGAAATACACACACCGCCCGTCAATCGCATGTCTGTTTTTATTTAATACTGCAAAATTCCTGAAAAAATAAAAAATAGGAAAAAAAATTGAGAAAAATTTGAAAAAATAGATGAATTTTTTTTTATTGCCGTGTTTTTTGATCGAAGCGAGGTTTATATTTTTAATTTGTTTTATTTTTTGGCAAGATTTTAGGTTTGTAAAAAAAAATATTTCTTTAAAACGCTCATTGTATTTTGTTTAAGTGTGCGCGTGTGTGTGTGCGCGTGTGATTGCGTAGTAGTAGGTGGTAGTAGTAGTAGTAGTAGTAGTAGTAGTAGTAGTAGTAGTAGTAGTAGTAGTAGTAAGTGTGTGCGTACGTATTTGTTGTAGTATAGTTATGTATGTGTATGTATGCGTGTGTGTGTGTGTGTTGGAGTGTGTGTATATGTGTGTACGTGTTTGTAGTGAGTGTTGAGTGTATTCTTGGCTGTACGTGTGTGTGTGTGTGCGCGCGTGTGTTCATAAAAATGTTTGTTTTATTTGTTGGTTCATTACTTCGTTCATCCGTTCATTCTCCTCCAGTCTGACTGAACTGTCTAGATTAATTATCGGTCACAAACTCAAATTTATTTACGATCTTCGTTTTTTTCTATTTCCGGTGGCGGCCATTTTGTTTTTTTTGGTTTGGTTGTTTGTTTGTGTGTCCGCTGTGGTTTTGACCTGTTTATATATGTTCGATATATGGTGACTCGCTTGATTGTTATTTGTGTGTTTGTGTGCTTTTGTGTGTGTGTGTTTGTGTGTGTTGTGTGTGGTGTGTTTGTGTGTGAACGAGTACATAAACAAATGAACGATTGAATGAGTAGATGATTAATTTGAAAAACGAATGAACGAATGAAAAATAACTATTTGAATGATTTAGTAAATTAACGTACGTACGAATGATTAATTGAATGAATGAATTAATGAATTAAGGAATAAATGAATGAGCGAATGAATGAACAAATAAATAGAAAAATAGATAGTTGATTGAGTTCGGAATGAATGCGAATATTGTGTGTTGAAAAATCTGAGAATTAAACTACTTTTATAGAAATAGATTGAAAATAAATTGAAATAATACCCCTACTAATATTACAACTACTACTGCAACTACTTCTGCTACTAAAACAACAACAACTACTACGACAACAACAACAACAACTACGACACAACAACAACTACTACTACTACTACTTCTAGCGGTAATACTACTATTACTTTTACTAGTATTACCACTTTTTTAACTCTTACTTTTACTACTGATGCTGCTTCGGCTACTGCTGCTACGTGTAGTAGTAGCCACATCAGCCACAACTACGGCTAATACTACAATAAGTTATAAATACTAACAACCGCCGAAACGCAACTAAATTAGCCACGAAAACACCATTACACGCTTACAGAATGGAAAAATCAATCATACATAAAAGGCGATTAAAAACAAGAGCATCAACAAAAAATGGAATGAGTGAATGAATGAATGAATGGATGAATGAATGAATGAGTGAGTGAATGAATGAATGAATGAATGAATGAATGAATGAATGAATGAATGAATGAATGAATGAACGAACGAACGAACAAACAAACGAACGGACGGACGGACGAACGAACGAATGAATGAATGAATGAATGAAATTGACAAAATAATAAACCCCAACATAAACAACAAAAGAGACTTAATGAAAATCCTTGAAACGTCAACATCAAAATGTAACGACAAAGTCATTTACTACTTCTACTACTACTACTACTACTACTACTACTACCACTGCAACAACAACTACTACATCAACAAAAATTCTAAATAATGAAATGCTTTTATCGATAAAAAATCATCATTCTCGTTGTCGAATGTCACGCTGCCCACAACAACAACAACAACAATAATGATAAGGTAGTGATAGTAGTAGTCTCTCTCTCTCTCTCTCTCTCTCTCTCTCTTTCTCTCTTTCTCTCTCTCTCTCTCTTTCTCTTTCTCTTTCTTTTTTATTGCTTTTCTTGAGCTCGTTCAAACATGTTTTCATGAACTGTTTTTTAACGTGTGTGTTTATTGTTTACGTCTTTCTGAATTGAAATTTTGTTGAAATTAATATCGACGTTTTTGTTGTTGCTGGTACTATAGTTATTATTATTACTATTGTTGTTGTTGCTGCTGTTGTTGTTGCTATTGTTGTTCTTTAGGAAGCGCTATATAATGTGGCTAAGAAACGCGCCGCGGTAACAATGGCCGCATGAAGCAATTGCTACCGTTAAATTGTTTTAAATTTTAAAAGTTGAAAAAAGAGAAAAATGATATGTCAATAATAGTAATAATAATAATAATAATAATAATAGTAGTAATAATAATAATAATACAACTACAACAATGTCACCACAGTTTAACAACAACGCAAAACATGATAAAACAGAGCCCACCGATACATAACCAACACATTTACAACATAAACAACAACACTCAAACAGCCAACAACAACATCGACAACACGTAAACATGAATAACACAACAAGCAGATACGCACATTCGCGTCTGACTGCCTTTTGTTGTTCGCATCTTCTACCGATAAACAACAACAACGACAAAAATGGAAACCACATCAACAACAACAACAACATCGTGATTTTTTTGCCTTAGAGATACATAACGGTCATTTAAGGTGTTCATACGATGCTGGGGGCGGGGTGGTTGTACTGCAACAACATCAACAACAACCACAACATCAACAACAACATCAGCATCAACATCAACAAAAACAACAGTATCATTATCCACAACGAGTCAACCACAATTCTTCAAATGATAGCCCACGCAAACAGCAGCAAAAATGGCGAGAACTTCAACACGAAACACCAAAACAACAACAACAACAACAACAACGTCAGCATAGAAAATTAAATGACGGCCTGTGGCATAGAATAATAATTCACCGACAAACACTGTACACCGTTCTTGTTTACATCGACAATGACATCACTAACTACCATTGGACAGACGGTTCTCCGATCATTCAAAATTCGGTCGGTTGAATTTTATGACTGTTCCATCTATCGGTCATACGCATAATGACTCTTTAATTGACTCTTTTTACTAACCTAATGTGAATGAATTTTAATTTAAGTATTTTTTTTTCGTTTTAATACTTTTACTTAATCGAAAATTATGACAGATAGCGGTTGCTACATATTATCGTTGATGATGTTATATTTGACGATGATGTTGTTATACCTGATGAGAATTTGTTGTTTTTGTTGTTGTTGCAATTGCTAGTATAAAGATAAAGTTGTTGTAGTAGATGTTATTAGTATTATTGTTGTTGTTGTTGTTGTTGCTGCTGCTGCTGCTATGGAAAAGCAAAAAAAAATGTTCTTCCAGCGAAATTTTTCCGAAAAATTTTTTCACTAATGTAAGATCTGAGATAAGTTAGTTGATTGACATTCGGCGATAACTAAATATTTTAATTCATTTTATTATTTTTATTATTATTGTAATTATTAATATTATTATCTTCATTATTATTATTGTTGTTGTTGTTTCTAGATGATTGAATAGCACGACAAATAAGTCACGCTTGCCATTTTGATTCAAGCATTTTTCATTTTTCTGTGGTCTTTATTATCTAATTTTATTATTACTCCTTCTTTTATTATTAATATTATTATTGTTGTTGTTGTTGTCATTATTTTTTCGTTGTTGATGTTTTTCATGTTGCTATTGTTGTTGTTGTTGTTCTTACTATTACGCCATTTATATTCAAAAGTTTCTTGTTGATATTCTAATTAGTTTTTTGGTTTTTAGCAACAAAATTCGCACAACATTTTTTAAATTTTGCTAAATAACAACAGGCTAACAACAACAACAACAACGACAACAACATCAACAACAACAACATCAACTCCAAACAATCCATCTACCTCGATCTCTCCCCAGACAACGTGGTCTACTTTGGAGGGCTCAGCCCTAACCCCACTCAAAGATTTCCCTCTCAATTTCCTCCACCCCATCATCAGCTTCCGTCATCGGTAAAATCTGACGGGCGGGGCTTTCACGGTTGCGTTAGCAGTCACGTGATATTCAACGATTTTCCGTATGACGTCATAGCGGCAGCCGGAAATAAGTCGACCGATGAGGTTTCAATTGTAAAGGGATGTCTCGGTGAGTGCGTCAGATTAACTTTTGTAACTTCTAAATGGGACCGCTGATGATGACGACGATGATGAAGATGATGACGATGAGTACTATGACGTCATCATTGGCATTTGTTGTTATCATTATCATCATCCAAACCATCATCCTTATTGTCGTTAATTTTATTTCTCACCATGTTTTGTCAGTTTCCTCATCAACATTGCATCATCGCCACAGAATTTTAGAAATTCATTTTCAAAAACCAGCGAATAAAAAATTTTTTGTTTTCTCATCATCTTCTTTGTCTTTGACTATATTATCATTATTAAAAAATTCTGCTTCACACATCAAATGATATACTGGAAAATGAATGAATTGAAATGTAGAATTTCAAACTAAAACAATGGAAAATTAATAAGGGAATGCCGTATCAAATTTAAAATTTTTTCCAAAAACAATGAATAAAAATATTCGTTTTTTTTTGTTTTTTTTCAGAACCGGAAAATGTTTGCGAACGATCCATGATTGCATCTGACAACATCAACAACAACATCAACAACATCTACAACAACATCAACAACATCAACAACATCAACAACGACGACAAAAACAAAATGGCGGAAAAGCGTTGCCATAACAACGGTGTATGCGTTCAGGAGTGGGGAGGCAACGAGTGCGATTGTCAGATGACGTCATTCTCCGGGGATAAATGCCAGGATGGTTTGTTGTGATGATGATGATGACGGTGATGATGACGACGACGATGACAATTATTACAATTGTTATTATTCTTATTATCATTATTATTATTACTATTGTCATTATCATTATTATTATTATCATAGTAATTTCCATTACCATTAGTGATATTATTATCGCTGACGATGATGAAGACGACGACGATGATGATTTCGCTGTTAAGGATTATGATGATTAAACGGAGATTAAAAAAAATGATCGCTGATGACGTCATCGTCTTCGTTAGTTTGATTGCGCTTTACAATTATCTCCGCTTTAATTCTGCAAGGAACATTGCAAGATTAACTAAGAGATCTGTTGCAATAAATATTACATTATCTATCCCTTCTACTACTATTACGATTACTGCTGATACTACTACTTCTATTACTACTACTACTACTTCTACCACACCGTGACTGTTGCTACTACTACTACTACTACTACTACTACTACTACTACTACTACTACTACTACTACTACTACTACAGCTACTACTACAGCTACTACTACTACTATTAATATAGTTGCTGCTACTACTACAAGTTTTACTTCGACAACGACTACTACTACGACGACCGTCAAGAAAGCATTATTCAAAGGTCTCAATTCCATGTAAATCTCATTAGGTGTCACTAGAGCAATTGACTTCCCATTGATTCTGTAACGCTTTTAGTTCTTTGCTTTTTATTATTTCTTTGGTTTTTTTGTTGTAGTTGTTGTTGTTTTTGTTATTGTTGTTGTTGTTGTGGTTATTTCCGTGTATCTTGTGCCAACAAATTTGTTTTACTGTCTTAGTAACACTTTATCAAATATTTTTGTTTGTCTGTTTGTATGTTTTTTGTAGGTTTTTGTATGTTTTTTGTTTCTTTGTATGTCTGTTCATTTGTATGTATGCATATATGTTTGTGCAAATGTTTATGTATGCCTGCGTGTGGTTAATAGCCTGCTTGTCTCAAGTGAATGAGTATGTGTCTATATATTGATGTGTGTGTGTGCGTGTGTGTGCATATAACTGTGGATGTTTGTGTGTATGTATGTGCGTTTGTATCCATGTTTGTATGTTTTGTTGTTTTGTTATAGATGTACAGAGATAAACATATTGGTGAAAAAAAATTTTTGTTTTTCTAAAAGTTACTCCTAACTAAATTCTTAACCCTTTTCCAATCCGTACTGGCACAAAAATTAACATCTCTGAAATTTTAGTCGAGAGGGAAAAATTTCTTTAAAAAATTGCATGGGATACACTGGAAAATAATTTTCCATTTCCTCACAGATGGTTTTTCTTCGCGACTTTATTATTTTACGTCCGAGCAATTGTTTTTCAGCAACATACTCGTAAATTTTCTGCTTAGTTTATTCTACTGTCATTAATTCATAACCTTTGGTCGGTCGGTGGTCGTTTGTTCGTTTGTTTGCTTGTTCGCTTGATCGTTCGATTGTTTGTTTTTTTGTTCGTTGTTTGTTCGTTCATTTATTTTGTTTGTGTTCTAATCTTTCAGTTTTAAACATTTTTTTCGCGTGTATAACGACAAAGCAATCAAACAATCCAACCACACCAACAAACCAATCAATCAATCAATCTAAAAGCAAACCAATCAATCAACCAACAAACCAATCAATCAATCAACCAATCAATCAATCAAGCAAGCAATCACTTAGCCAACCAACTCAACAAAACATCAGCCAACAACCAACCAACTATCCACCAACAACAACCTGCAAACAGAGGGCACTTCATACGAGTTTGGCAGTAAGGGGATGATGACCTTTAGATTCACGAAAGGTGATTGGCCGGACACTCACGCCGACCGCATAGCAGTGGCCTTCAAACCGGAAACAAAGATCAAAATGTCGGTAAAGGAAGAAGATGAGGAAGAAAAAAATAGAGATGCTACTATTTTTAGAATGGAAAGTGGAAGCAGTGCGGATTTTATTGAAATATACTTGGTTAGATTAATGTTTTTTTTATGTCCCATATAAGTATGCTCGTTATAAAAGATGAACACATTTTATATTCTGTTGTAGGAGGCCGTGGTTACGGTTACTGAGGTGCAGTGACCGTGTTCGAAAGCAAATGCATCTCCTCTATCCATTTTTTAAACAATGTATTGCGATCTTTGACATGTTTGAGAAGTTTTAATATTTCAATTTTTTTAAAGTAGTTTTTGGCTTCTAAAAATTTCTTTCGCGGGCTATCGTCTTCGTCTCGAATTCGATTCGTTTCAAGTTTTTTTACACTTTTGTTCGTTATGAGCCAGTTCTGTCATGTTGCTTACTGTAAAATGTGTTTGAATATGCATGATATTGAGGTATGGCCTCACTCAATGTTTGAATCTTCCGATAATTAGATGTTTGAATATGCATATGTTGAGGTATGGTCTTACTCAATGTTTGAAACATCCGATAGAAGATGTATGAATATGTATGATGTTGAGGTATGGCATATTTTATACTAACTATTATACTATATTTAACCACAACAACAACAACAACAATACAGACGAAGAACAACAGCGTATGTGCTCTGTACGACGTCGGCATGGGCAAAAAACTCTTGACTTCCGGCTGGAGCTATGGTGACGTCATCATCGCTCAAAGATATCACGTGATCAAGTTTCAAAGGTCGGGAGCCAATGCCAGTTTGCAGGTTGACGATGGGAATGTGTCCAGTTACAACACCAGCGGTTGGTAGTGTTGCATTCCATTGCGTTACCTTACATTACATTACAATGTAAAAAAATTACATTTCATTACAATTCAAAACATTACATTACATTACACTGTTAACCAAACATAATAATGAGTAATAGTAATAATTATTACTATTATAAATCTAAAAATATAGTCATATACTTTAAAAAAAACTCACACATATGGAGAGAGAGAGAGAGAGAGAGAGAGAGAGAGGGAGTGAGAAATTAGAAAGAGAATTACTAAGTATTTAATAAAAGACTAATCTACTGACACTGCGGTACTTACTTAACAGTAAGTTCAAATTAGTAATTTTATTTAGTAACGTCTAAAAATGTCTCCTGCAAATGTTTGAGTAGATTTCTGAAGAAAAAAAATTTGTGGATAAATCATCTTTTTTTTTAAAAGAGAGCAATTTAAATTAGACTGTATATGCTTGGAAAACGCAACTCTTACACTCACGCACGCACACACACACACACACACACACACACACATACACACGCACACACACGCACGCACACACGTACCTAAATTTTTTTTAAATACTGACATGTATAAAAATATCGAAACATGGAAACAGTTATCAATCAAAAAATGAGGCTGAACGAACGAATCAACTTACTACGGATGTGCATTTTTAAGATGTGATTAATCAAAGAGTACAACTAATTAATCAATGATTATTGAACAAGCAGTCAATCAATTGAGGAATTTATCAATCAATTAATCAATCATTCAATCAATATATCGACCAATTTTTAAGTCAACTCTTATCGATCAGTCATTCAACTTAACAACAAATCAACCAATTATTCAATTAACCATCAATCATATAACCATCCAAACAACCGACCAATTAACCACATAACCAACGAGCCAATCAACTATATAACAAACCAACCAACCAACCAACCTATCCATTTATCTTAAAACCAGACGCCAAACTGACAATATTCAACCATCAATCAATCATAAAAGTTGGAGGGAGAAAGCTGACATCTGTCGACGGGGGAGTTAAAAGAAGTTTTAAAGGATTCCTCAAAGGTAATTCTCATTCATTTCAATCTTGTGCATGTATTGTAAACGGTATTCGTGTACATCATCGTGTATGTACATATACACATGTCCTATTTGTACACATGCATGTACGAGTTCGTATTATTCTGTAATGTGCATTCATGTATTTGTATGTTTACATGTAATAATATCAACACACAAAATGTATTGTATTTTGTACTGTATTGTTTTGTAGTGTATTGTATTTTGTATTGTATATATGCGTGTTGTATTGTATTGTATAAATGCATATTGAGTTGCACGAATGTGTTTGTATGCCTGAGTGTGGTTGCATTGTATATATGTGTATTTACGTATTTTAAGAAAAACATCCGTCCTATACAAAAATCTAGTTCAAAACCGGTTTTAATGTGTTGTATTGTTTGTATTGTATATGTACCCATATAAAAGTGTGTATGCTTGTATGTATAAGTTTGTATTTATGTGCTTGTTTGTTTGTTTGTTTGTATTTGTGTAATGTATCGCACACACGTGTGACGTTCCGTGTAAACCATCAAAGGTGTTTATTCATCTCTTAATGCCTGACCACTTTGGCTGTCGTCATCGTCGGTCGTCGTCATCGGCGTCATTTTATCGCGAGAGTTAAAAAAAATTATTTATGAGAAAATTTGTTAATCTAATCAAAAAATCTTTCTCTTATTAAATTTTCGTTTATTCCGATTATTTCAGTTTCAATTTTCAACATCTTCACCACCACCATCATCATCATCATTATCATCATCATCATCATTATCATCATCATCATCATCATCATCATCATCATCGATCTTTATCATCGTCATCATCATCATCGTCGTCAGCATCATAATCATTTTTTTCATCTCCATCATCATCATCATCATCATCATCATCATCATCATCATCATCATCATCATCATTGTAGTTTCTGTCGTCATAAAATAGAGTCGTTGAATTCGCACCTCAGCATCATCGTCAGCATCATTCTTTCATCCTCGTCATCATTTTCTCCTCCTCCTCATCATCGTCATCATCGTCGTAACTTTTGTCGTCAGAAATTAAAGTCGTTAATTCAATCGTCATGGTCTTTGCTGCTGTAGCTGTCGTAATGGTCTTTGTGGCTGTTGTTATCGTAAATTTCTTTACTTTCCTCTCTTTTTGATGTCGTGGTAATACTAGGCCTTATCAGTGCTTGAAAGCCTTTTAACGTAATCCATTCATTAATCGCCCCACTGCTGCTTGCTTCTCTAATTATTTGTTTTGTTCTCCAATGTTCTCGTCGTCGTCGTCGTTTTCACCATTTTCACCATCTTTTTATCCTCACCTCGCCGTCTTCTTCAATCATCATTCCCAATTTCGTCCGCGTCCATATTGACAATGACTTTTATCGCCAAGATCAACGTCATTTTTATCATGACGTCATCGTCGTCAACTTTTTCCGGCTGTCATTAACGTCAACGTCTTCGTCATTCTCGTCATCTCCGCTGCTAGCATCCCAATTATCATCGCAGTCCCTTCGTCGTCGTCGTCGCTTCTGATAGCTTCATATTCACTCCTGCCGTCCTGCCAGCATCACTGAACCATTTGATTTGATCATTTCGTCAGGTCTAGTCGTGAACGGGTTGAACGTTTTTGAACTGGCTTCAAAGAACCACCCGCAAGTACGTATTGAAGGCAAAGGTGTTCGACTGGCAAGTGAGATGAAACAAAACAGACCTGCCGAGTGAGGAAAATTTCGATGATGCCATTTTTAAATTAATGTTATTCACGAAAACTTAAAAACTTTCCCTTTTTATTGTAACCTTTTTAAAAAATGTTTTAAACGTGATACGTGTGAAAAATTCAAATTATCAACTCAAAAAAATTGTTAAAATATTTATAAAAATTATTTTTGAACGTAAAAATGAGTTAGCTCAGACGGTAAAAGTACTATGTCTCAAGTTGTTAATACTCTCTGACCAGGTTCGAACTCTGTCGGCACATAACTCAAACGCCTCGTATGAATAACGCAAACTTGCAGTACATGTATGTAGGCAGTCTTGGTGTGATCATGGTGAAACTGTTATGTGAGTCAATGATAACATTGCAACGAAGTAAGAATGGATGGATGATATGCAATCCTCAGAGCTGAATAATGAGGAATGAAAATAATGGCTTCCAAACTGACCTTCTTATGCGCTGTATTGCTTAACAATATTAAATATGTATAAATCACTAATTTATTGTTTCATTTAACAGGGAGGTTCCGAATGATGACGTCAACGATGACGAAGGTGGGGACGATGATTATGATGGGTCTGGCAATGGAAATGATTATGATGATGACGATGACGACGACGATGATGAAGATGACGAAGACGAGACACGTGATAACAAAAATGAAAACTTTATCTTATCTTCAACGGACCGATACATTTTTAACATGGAATCAAACAAAACAAACTCCGATGTGTTGAGCGGCGAAACTTCAAACCTTCTGAACACTGATCTCATAGACACAGGTGCAGCAAGCACTCCTTCCACTACAAATTATGTGAACGTCACCTGGACGACAGGTTTTAACGTATGGAAAGCAGGCGACGACGTTGAAGATGACTCACCTGGCGGCGTCAACGAGACCGAGAAGAGCATCATGGTTGACGACACCGCTTTGTGGATCCCGGTTTCAAATTCGGTCAACACATCCTCAGAGAACGGTACAACAACCAGCGTGGAATCTACATCAGAGCAAGACCACAACGCGTCATACCTGGCAGTACCACAACCGACGACAACTACGACATCCACCGATTCAAATGTAACGCCTACAAAACCAACTCTCTCTCATCTATCGTCAAGCGTAAAGGAATTTTTTAAACGAATAATTAAAATGTTTCCCCCTTGGTCACTCATTACCGGCTGCATTCTTGGCGTATTCCTCGTACTGGCTTGCATAATTTTAATGGCGGTGGCCTGTAAGCGAAGTCACAGCGGTCGAAACTGTGGCAGCTACATCGTCGATCAGAATATGTCCTCGCGAACGTTCTGCGCTGGAAAGTGCACTGGCAGCCTCTGCCCGTCGTCGAAACCTCAGCAGCATTCAGGCGACAACAGGAATGGACTGATCAGTAATAAAACAATCAACAATAATGCCATCTCGGATAAACATTCTTGCATCGATTCCGAAACTATTCACTTGTCGGATAGAAAATTCGACTCACACTGCAGCAAACCCGAGCACTTGACTTCTCGACAAAGACGGTCGAAAACTTATCCGAGATCCTTCATCAGCTGGTGTCGAAAAAATCACAACCGGACGGAAACAGTCCTTGAAAAAAAACAACTGTTCACAAAAGGCTGTTGCAGTAGCCTCAACAGCTACGACGGTCGTCTCGACGTCGCAGATAGTAACAACTTCTCCGAATCATTAGAACAATGTTACTGCAATGATTGCAGGACGGAGAAAGAACTGCCAAGCAGCAATATAAATGTCAGAAACGGTCTCACAAGTGCTTCAAAAAGATTCGGTACCCTCAAACCACCTCCTCCCCCACAAATGACGTCACATTATGAAGCCTCGAATAGCGATTTTAGCAACAGTCCGTCCAGGCCAAACGCAGGTGAATCTTCGTCGCTGGTAGCAGTCAGCGATTACTACGACTCGCCGCTGGCCAGCGTCGACTCGACCAAAGTTTCAGTAACGTTGCCGAGGTTCAACGTTAAAAATGCACATCTCTGTAGGACGGATCGGACGGGCAAGAGGAGGAAAACGGTTTTCGGGAAGAATAATAGAAAAGATAAGCACAAACTCTCTTCAGCGGCCGTGCATTTCAACAGAGAGTGGTATGTTTGAAAGTTAGAAACAAGTGGTATTATAATTTATTAACGTCATTTACGTCACTCAAACATCCAGCAAACGACCAATGAAACGTTTAGGTAAAATTTTGTACAAAACTATCGAATTCTCGAAAATTCCATTCACTCACACTCAACAACTTGAAAACATAGCAGCGCGATCAACTCTTTTCAAGCAGTGTTAACACAAAACTCTCGAGTATTACGTCGTTGACTGAAACACGGTAAAACAATTGTTAACTTGTACAAACTTGTACTATATTGAACCAAATTGTTATATATAACCAAGTGTATCTTCGTCCTTTTTTCATTTTTGTGGAGCGTAGCTGGACGATGGTTTGTCATGCAGTTACATGCGAATGTACCGCAGTTCGTTGCACATCATCTGAAGACAAACCAATCTCGTACTACCAAGTTATTTATCTATTCATTTGATGACGACTTTGTTCACACAACAGCGCATACAAAAACCGTTGTGCACGACAATTGATAGACTCTAACATTTGATGAATAAACGAACAAACCAATATCTGTGTTAAAATTTATTAAACTGCACAAAAGTTGCTGAAAAAATGAAGTTAGTTGTATGTGTAAGATGGCATTATGAGGGGCCTGGGAGCGAATAGTGGCCTATTTCGACCCCTCAACTTCCGTTTTTTATTGAGAAACTTCATGAGTAATGACTTTTTACCCAAACTCCACACTTTCAGTTGGCGCTCTGAAAGTTCCGCCAGTTTTTCCTGGTCGTCGTAGTCGATGCCAGGAGCGTACGGGGCCTCCACCTCCTCTGGTTCAGTCAGTTGCAATCCCTCATCAAGCAGACTCTTCCTGAATGCCTGAAACTGTGATCGATGATATCATTATTTCATTCCATTTATTGTTCTGTTTCAAATATCTGAATCAATATATAGTGGAAATTGAAATCAGAAATTTAACACATGTTAAAAACAGAAGCTGCCCTGTATATACATATTAATTTAATTTGTTATAGTTCAATTCCTATAAAAACAGTAACCTTCTCTGAACTGTCAGCATTGATCCATTCAAGTAGGGTGGCATTGGCTATCCCAAACTGCAGACATCTCTGAGCCAGAACTCGACCGATGTTGATGGCTGATGAAACATCACTGCAACTGTAAATTTATTGAAAAAAAAACTTTTGAATGATGAAATTTCAAAAAAAACTGTTAAAGAAATAAACTTTTGAAAAACATTTTAACTTGTACAAATGCTTTCTGATGGCCAATTCCTTAGTGGAACATGAGACTACCTTAGTACCGCAGCTATGTACAACATTAGCCTCCATGTTTCGGTTGGTCACTATGAATTCTATCCTGGAATTTGTTAAAAATAACATTTTTTTGTTGATTAAATTAAGAAAAATTATTTAAAATTCGTAGTTATTGAGAAAAAGTAAAAATTTTATTGTTTAAAATGTGAAACCTGTGGTAGAATTCTTTGCTTGGATATTGAAATCTCCATCCTTTACGTTTCCAAGCTATGCCTAAAAGCTCCAAGTTCCTGAATAAGTAACAAAAGGAATGGAGAATGTGGAAAATAACTTAAAAATAATTATGTTAGCACCTCTTTTAATATAATTTTTCAAGTGTAACTTATTTAAAAAATTAATCTTCATAACCATTTTATAATAACTTTACACTTTTACGAAATGTATATATAAAGAATATAAAATTTTTTTGAATTGAAAATGAATTCCAAAATTTTAAATTTCAAAAATGTAAACCTTGGATTTCTATTGATAAACTTTCTATCCAAATTAAAGTTTTCAATTTCTGTTTCTTCATTATTTACTGTTTGTGAGTTGCTACTGCTACCATTGAATCGGTGCAGACCTTTGGAGTTTTAAAGTTGTTATGCTGAGTTAATCAATGATTAACAATTAACATTATTGAATTAATCAAATAAATTGATTAAAATTTAATTAAATAATTGAATAGATTGAGATTGACTTTTGTCTTATGATTAATCATTAATGAATATTATGAAGTGGGGATTATTATTTTATTTACTAACATTACAATTTATGAATTATTTTAAAACTAAAGATTTATTTCTGACCATAAACGTGTATTAAATTGAAAACTTTAGGGCGATTAATTTGAATCCATTTTATCGTGCTTTTTAATGACTGAAAATAATCTTATATATATAAGTAATATAATATCGCTCACCTGTCATAACAGAGGAAGCAGGGAAGGATTTGCAAGAAGCATTTTTTAACAGATTAACTCGCTTTAAACTATTAATACAAAATCCTAAAATGCTTTTATTTAAAGAAAACATTCTAAATAGTATAAAAACGCTATTTGTTTTACTAAACTTCAAGTTTAAGATAATTTAATTCATAGCCAAAATTAACTTTTAAACTTAACTTGTAAACATACATAGAACACAAAAAAAATCATTCAATGAAATTTTTGATTAAATTCACTGTTAATAAACCGTTTTCTACGCATTTAAAACAAAAAATATTTAAAAAAATTATTCAACTTAATAAAAATAAAATTAAATATTTATTTTTAAATAATTAATTGTTCAAAAAACTTATTTTAAACACTAATATTGTGACACACCTGGATAAACAACATTATATATATATACGTATATAATTGTAATACCTTATTAGTTTACTTTTAATTAGCCAATGAGTGATTTTAATTAAATTTAAATTGTACTTTTGATTGTAAATAGTGAATATATAGAATTATTTATTGATTATTTATTTGATTTTTCCAGATTGTCATTTTAAGGATTCATATACTTATTTCTGTTTCGTAATTTTATTTATTTATTTTTTTACTAATTCCGGATTGATAACTGGGTGTCTACTCAGCTCCTCATATACTAGGATTAGGCCATTAGAAAAGAATAAGAAAATCTAAACTTTTCAATTATGACCAAAGATAGATTGGCCGCCCTGAAAGCGGTTTGTCTCTGAGACTTTTTGTTTTGTTTTTATTTTATTAAATTAAAATTTTAATATTAATAAATATTATACCAATATTTATAAAAAAAATTTTATTACTTATTAGTTTATAAGTATAATTTAAAATTATACTATTATATTTTAATTTAATAATTAAATTATAATATAATAGTATAATTTTAAATTTAATTATTAAATTATAATATAATAGTATAATTTTAAATTATAATTATAAACTATGAGTAATAAATTTTTTTTATAAATATTGGTATAATATTTATTTATTTATATGAATTGGTGGGTTATTTTAATCACAGATTTAACTTAATTAAGATGATTAAGATTTGATTAATAAAGATTTTGATTATTTTAATTAATTATTTATTATTAAGAGTAAATAAAATAATTTTTTTATCGTTAAGTTAAATAAAATAATTATTTAATTATATATGTAATTATTAATATATATATAAATATATGTATATATTTATTTAATTAAATAATTAATTTTCGAAATAACTTTCAAATAAAAGTATAAAACTATGTATAATAAAATATAATAAAATGAAATTAAATGTATAAATATCTTCTTATACATTTATTATACACACACACATATACTACGTTAGTGTATAAATGATGTTGTTATAACTCTATATATATATATATATATATATATGTGTTAGTAATAGACCCATAATTTTTA